AACCGGTGAAAGTATAGGTTTTTACATCATATTAAGTAAAGTAACATAGAAAACATCACCAAAAGAATGTGAGTCGCAATCATCAAGCAAACCCGAAATGAAATCACGATGCAAATAACGCTTGAATATTCAAATCCTTACTCCAGTCGACTCTTTAGCTTCGAAATCAACCCTAAGGGGTTTCTGGATGTCAAAAACGAAGTAAAAGTCGCAGCTTAAGGCTGCCAATGGTTGCATCTCGATTAGGGTTAGAAAAATAGTGTATTTATAGAAAATAGAGGGACCACGACACGGAAGTATCTAAATCGTGGTGTAGTAAAAATCCGTATCTAATACAAACGTGATTTTTAATTTTTGATTTTTTTTTTCTTTTTGCTGAAGGGGCACGACATGCCTTTCAAATGGGTGCAACATGTCTTTTGTTGATTTTTGCGTTTTTGTCGTTTTTCTTCTTTTTCATATTTGTTCTCTTCCTTTTGCATCCTAGATCCGAATTTAACTATAATTAAACATTTTAAATCATATTAAGCATCATATATATTAAAATATAACATTTCAGATTAAGTTATTAAGATAATGACCTAAAATATATAGTTAAATAAGGTCATATCACTAACAGGGTGAGTTATAGCTCTCACTTTCTCTTTAGATTATAATTATATGTTTTTATTTATGTATGTTTATATGTATGTGTGTATGTTTATGGGATATACGTTTAAAGTCCTATGCCAGACCATGCACATATATATAGAGAATGTATGAAGTATATGTTTAAAAACATGTATCAGAGCATGCATTTATACCTAGAGTAAGTATGGCCAGATATGACAAAGGTATTTGTTAAATGCCTAAGAGATATAAAAGAGATGAGATGTGATTATATACAACATTATCATATAGAAGAGTATGTAAGCATATGTAGATGCTAATGGTAGTATGAGTAATACTTGTAAGATGTAGGTGAGAAAAGAATTGGATTATATGCCTTCTACTTGTATGTATGTATGTATGTATGTATGTATGTATGTATGTACATATGTATGTATGTATACATACATATATGTATGTATGTATGTATGTATGCATGTATGTATGTATGCATGTATGTATGTATGTATGTGTGTGTATGTATGTATGTATGTCTAAACATTATGCTATTGTGTAGAATACATATATGTTAACAAACATAGCTAAAGATTAAGTACTTAATGAGTTATTAAGTACTAGTTATTTAGCAGAAGATCTCTTGATCAGATAAAGAGATAGAATGTCCATGGGACAATGTATTATGTGATGAGTCACATAATATAGAGACAAATAAGTGTAGAAAGATTATTCTTTCGAGAATGAGATAAGAGTTTCTGCAAAATTGTTTCGTCGTTTGCACCACTTTGGCATTGTTATTTGACACTTGAAAACATCTTATTAAACTCCGTCACCACTTTGTTGACATTTCTCCACTTCGAGCAAATTTGGTCATTTTTGCGACAGTCTCCAAGATTCATCTCTATGAGAAAACGCCGTGTAATTTTCGAGAAAAAAGTTGGACAGTCTTGATTATTTCTGAGCACCGGATCTCCAGAAACATCCACCCACGCATGAGCTAACGTATTTTCTTCGGTCATTGTCCATTACCTTGGAGCCGCCTTTCTACTTTTCTTGGGTTGTGGTCAAATCTCTCCTGGCTCCGATTCCGTTTCGGGGACGACTTCGGGTTCTCCTTGAGTTTGGAATTGGGTTTGAAAATTCATTGGGGGAGTCGGGAAGATTAT